ATATATATATATATATATATATATATATATATATATATATATATATATATATATATATATATATATATATATATATATATATATATATATATATATAATTATATTTATTTGTGTGATTATTTTATTTAATTTATTTATATTCAGCACTCTATCATTCATTTATTTATTTTTATCTATTTATTTATTTATTTATTTAGTTAGTTAGTTAGTTAGTTAGTTAGTTAGTTAGTTAGTTAGTTAGTTAGTTTTTTTTTATTTATTTTTATAATCTGCACTAAAAATACAATTACCGTCTAACCTTGAGAAACTAACGTTGACAGTACATTCGGAGAAGCAAAAATTGTTATTAAAAATAACACCAACAACAACCAAATTTTAATAAAACAATTAGTTGTAAAACAATTAGTTTGTAAAATTTCTGGGGGAAGATTTTGTGTTTGCCAGGTCTTAAGCAATAACAATAGCAATGTCTACTTTAACAAGCAATTTTCAGCAGGAAAAATATATATAATTTAGTAGAAATATCGTGCATGTCTCGAAATGCTGAAGACAGCAACCGTTTAATAAGGCATGTTATGAGTGAAACAGACAACCGGTGACATGGCTAACAGTTGACCAGACATTTATAAGCAATTTTCACAGATAAGTCCTGGCATAATGCCTGCAAATGAGTCCAATTTATAAACCTCTCACAATGCTATGCTCAGTCGGGAGACCAGATTCCAGCGATCCCGTTGAAAATCCCTCCTTCTGGTTGGTCCAGAAAATACCAGCTCAGCTTAGAGGAGGATTAGACCCGCACCTGCTCCCCGATGAATTATCTAACCGTGTTAAAACTGAAAGAGTCAACTCTCGGGATGAGTTTTACATGCAGATTGTTGGCTTCATCTCCTTCCCTTTATGATAATCCCAAACTCACTCCATCACTGAGTTCAGAATGTATGTGGATCATGGGGTTTTTGGTGTGTTGTGGATGTGCTGAAGTGTTTCTGTGTGTGTGTGTGACTGCAGGTGGTCGACATTAAGGAGAAGCTGAAGGAGTCAAGGAGGTTCTGGTCGTCTCTGCCTGACAGCATCTGTGCGGAGGACGAGATGACTGACCCAGATGAGGAGCAGTGCTGGAACAGTCATACCAGGGGAAGGTACGGCGGTCACCTTCACACACACAAACACACACACCCGCGCACACACACACACATGTTTGGATTTCCATAGTCCCCAACAACTTCATGAAAACCAGGCTCAAACACAGACACACACAAACACACACACACTCTCATTTTTATTCTGACTCATTTCACACAAACACACTCGCACTATCACTCACAGACTAACACATACGCACACACACTCACTCGGCACACATACTGTACATGCACACACACATTTGGGTTTTCATAGTCCCAAACAATGTGATAAATTCCAGGCAGACACACACACACATATGCACGCATGCATGCACGCGCACGCACACACACACACACACACACACACACAGTACGTGCATACATACACACACACATAAACACACCTTTTTACTCACTCACACACACACACACAAACACACACACACACACACAAACACACACACACATACACAGACATGCGCACGCAAGCACACACTCACGCATTCAAGCACGCACTCAAGCACGCACTCACACACGCGCACACACAGAAACACACACGTTTAAATATTTATAGTCTCGAACAACTTCATGAATACCAGACACACACACACACACACATTCTAACACAAACTCATTCTCACTCACACACAAACACATACACACACACACATACACACTTATACTCACTCACTCACTTACTCACTCTCTCTCTCACACACACACACACACACACACACACACACAGACAGACATGCGCATGCATGCAGGCACTCACACACGCACGCACATAGAAACACACACGTTTGTAATTTTATAGTTTTAAAACAACTTTATGAATACCAGGCACACACACGCACACACACAAACACAAACACACAGTAAGTGCATACATACATACATATACACACTTATTCTCACTCATTCACACACACACACACACACACACACACACACACACACACGCACACACACACACACACACACACACACACACACACACACACACACACACACACACAGTGGTTAGCACTGATGCCTCACAGCAAGAAGGTGTGTGTGTGTGTGTGTGTGTGTGTGTGTGTGCGTGTGCGTGTGCGTGTGTGTGTGTGTGTGTGTATTGGTGTTTCCCAGTACTGCTTTGCGACTAGAAGGGCATCCCCTGCGTAAAACATATGCTGGAATAGTTGGCGGTTCATTCCGCTGTGGTGACCCCTGAAATAGAGATTAAGCAAAATGAATGAATGAATTAAAATGAATCAAAAGTGAGAATGCAGACATTCGTAACCCTATAAAAGATCATCAAAATTCATCAAAGAGTCCTGATAGAAAAAATGGAGGCAAATCCAGAGCAGTGATAATAACTTAAAGTGCTCTTTTATTTATTATACTTTGCTAAAGCTCTATCATTTATTCTCTTTGAATGAATTGTCAGAGCTGATTTTTTACAGTAGCTCATTCCTTCAGTCCGTGTCTTTTCCCGGGCGTCTATAATGAACACGTCGTGATGTCTGTCACTCCGTCTGCCCGTCTTTGACAATCCGCCAGACGCTTTGGCAGAAAACCCATCCGCCTTTTCAGCGCTCCACAAGTCGTAATATCAGCAGATGGTGCAATATAAGACATGTTTCATTTTCTTTCCAAGCAGCCTCATCATGTAAATGACCCGTGCTGTGTGAAGAGATTTTTTTTTTTTGAGCACCAAGAAGACAAATTAACACAGATGATGAGACTTGTGTGAGTTGAAATGCATGTTATGATTTTTTTTAATCTATTAATATTAGTCAGATCTGGTCTCTATGGAGTACAACAGCCTCATTATTGGCTAATTGCTGCTTAAAAAGCACACGGTTTGCATTTGAATGGGAGCGCATTTTGCGATGGCGCAACCTGGGAGCGTTCAACAAGTTTCTTTTTTTTCCCCCACAAAGCACCACCTGAAATATTAATTAGCCACAAACAATTACCTCTTGCTAAAGCGCTTATTAGAAGATTAGATCTCAATAGAGTTCGGCGCATGCATAATGCTGCAACATGTGTTTGTACTGCGCTCGAATAAAGAGGCTAAAATTAAGCAGATTATGCATGCAAATAATTCAGTGCGAATCACAGACTACACCAAATTCATGCAGTACTTCTTTTTGGTCTCGGGAAATAAATTTGCGAGTATATATATCTATATATCTATATATCTATTTTATATATATATATATATATATATATATATTTTTTATATATATATATATATATATATATATATATATATATATATTTATTTATTTATATACATA